CAGTCTATCTATGTGTTGGATTTCTCATCTATAAAATGAATAGCGTCACCCACATAGGTTTGTTGAGGAGATTAAACAAGTTAATAGGGTCAAAAGCCCTTAGCACAGTATGTGATCCAATTAGGAATAACTGTTGAGGGGTTTTTTTGTTTTTCTTGCTATTTACATGTAACAAAAGTCCACAGTCCTCCATTATGCAGAAAAGGAGTTTATTAAAAGAATGTTTGTTTATGGAAACTCTGATTTGGAGAAATAAGTTTAAGAGTAAGCCTTCAGGAAGGTTTTCAAGGTTTTGAGGGAGTAAGGTTTTAGGAAACCGCATCACAAATCTGGAATGAAAAGAAAATGCACCATGGGGTGTTGAACACTGAAGTTTGAACCATTATGATTTCTGCATCAGAACTCCATTTTACTTTATTGTAACCATGACTATCCCAACAGCAAAAGAAGCTGGAAGAGCAAGTATCTGGCCTTTTTTAACTCCTGTAGGAAAACACGATTTGGCTCAGATTCCTCGATGTATAAAAAGGTCAGATGCCAGATGGCCAAAATGAACTCAGTCCATTTGGCCTCAAACTAAGATTTATTGCTTACAATCATTTATGAAAGTTTGGGTGGTTTTATTCATGTCAAGAAGATGGTATACATCATTTCTTAGAGTCTATGATTCCATAATGAAAGGCTTAAAATAGCTGTAACAGAGGAACATCCAAATACTCTTGATATATAAACTGAGTTACTAGGCAGGCTCAGTGTCCAGTATGCGAATTACACCCATGGATTTTTAGTTAGAATTAGGTCTTCCCCTTTTAATTTACATGGTTGAAGGTTTCTATTTATGTGCTACAAGAAAGCCAATAGTTTCCAAGTCTTTGATTAGAAAAATACAAGTTCCCAGAATTTAATGAACATTCCCTCATGAAAAGCAAAAATCTATATTCTTTGTCTTGGAACTATTAATACATTTGTGCTACTGGGGGAATGCATCCCACGAGGAGGACATCAGCCAGGAGGGGAAAGAGCCATTATAACTGGGCTTTATCTATTTTAAACTCCTCGACTATAAAAACAGTGCCCAAAATACCAGCAATCCAGCTCCCAACTGTCCTTTCTGAGTAATGGACAGCTATTCTAATCCCATGACTAACGCCCCTCGCCCCTTGCTGTCTTAAATGGGCACAGATGACCACCCCTCGTGCGTACCGAGCCCAGCGGCTGGTGTGTAGAGCAGATCCCCCCATGAGTGAGCTTTGTGACATCTCTGAACCAGCCAGACTCTGTGATCCCCCAGAAAAATACCCTTGGGGAATTTTTGTCCAGTGTTTATGGAAACCATAGAAAGACAATTAATAAGCTTTCCTGCACAATCATTTTGGCTCATAAGCAGATGAATCCTCCTATTCACGGTGATGAACACAAAACAGTCCAGTGATATTTTTAGCAATTATAGCAAGAAAGAAAAACTTTAAAGGCCAGTCTGCCGGTTGCCTATTTTCAAACTATCAGACAAAGCCTGTCAAATCAGAAATTCTGGAATAGCTACTTTGGTATTATGGGAGGAAAGTTTGGTTTCTTCAACCTAAAGAATGAAAATGCTACCAAATTTATATTATGTTCATTCTAATAATCCACTGAACAGACCTCTAGACATTTAATATATACAAAAATGGCCTCAGAGGGATCATTAGCAACTAAATGGACTTTTAAAAAGTGGCCTTTAGCCCCGCAATAGAAATATGTCTCCTTATAAGCAACAGTTATCAGATCCGTCCTTCCAAAATTTGTGTAATAAAATGATTGGAAAATGGAAAGGATTTTAAATGTGGCAGAGTGTTTGCCATTTACTGGCATGATCATTTTTTTCACAAGAGAATATGTAAAGGTGGTATGAATCTGTTATAAACGATTACACTTCCATATAACAAGGCAAAATGTAGGGATTAAGCTGATGGTCTCTAAAACCAGACAGTCTGAAGTCAAATCCTGGCTTTGCCTCTTCCCAACCATATGACCTCAGCAAAGTACTTACTCTCTCTGGACTTCAGGGTTTTCTGTAAAATGGGGACAGCAGTAGTCCTTAACCTCTGACACTGTTTAGGGTTATAGCAGTGTCCGGCCTGTGGCAAGTGTCATATAGATTTTTGTTAGAAAATCAGTAACTTTTAATATATCTCTGAAAATGTCAACTTCATATTTTTCAGCAAATTCTTGGTTGAGATAGAGTTCATTCATTCTAGAATTCTTAAGGCATTTTTTTCTCTAGAAGTAATTCTCAGTGCTACAGAAGTTCTGCTGCTAGAAGATTCTGCAAGAATATAAGGGACAAAAAAAATACAAGAATTCTTGAAGCAAATATTTAAATAATTAGTAAAATAAATAAACACCCGATTGTTGGAGGCAAAAAATAATCAAGGCAAGGTAGAACACCCATCTGACACCTTTTTTTTTTAATTTAAAACCATATTATATAAATTAGGAATAAAAAAAAGCGATCGCAACCAGAGACATAGTTTATACCATGACCTAAAATCCTTTGAGCTAATACTTATAGAATAATTGAGAAAGTCCCAAGTTGGTTTGTATAAAGATTTAAGAGTGAAACTGGAGTGTCTTACCTTGGATTTTAAACATATAAAACAATGTCTTTAAACAACTGATATATGACTTTTTAGAACACACATAGAAAAATATTTGGAAAAGCAAATAAATTTAACAGAAACTGCTTCGATAGATGGGCAGAGTGACACACTGAGGAATGTTTCTTTTTACCTGATACATAATGATGTTTTCTGCCTTTTGCATTATAGTTTTTTCCAACACATGTATCATTTTATAGTATACAACTCCTTAAAGTATTACGTGAAGAAGTTAGTGATAAATGCTGGTATTTGGTCCCTTATATTCACTTTTCTTCAAAAATCACAGTAAAGTCTAATGACCAAGAGCTCTGGCTATACCTATGTTGGAAGTAAGTGTACCTTTCCCCAGAAAGCACACTATTGCCAATTGGCAGCAATGGATCTGACCCATACTCCACTCAGAGCCCCTGAAGTTGCTTTCAGGTCTTTAACCTCTAGAAAAATAAAGATAGCACTGCTGTCTTTAATATCTAATCCCTAGTAATGAAAAGAACCAAACTCTTTCCCATAAAACTCCAAGTGTTTTTACCAAGGGTTGGTTGGTATTACCAAGGGTTGGTTGGTGTTAGCAAGGGTTGGTTGGTGTTAGCAAGGGTTGGTTGGCAATAGCAAGGGTTGGTTGGTGTTAGCAAGGGTTGGTATTCTATTTGGGTGGAGAACAGTATTGCTTCCCACAAAGAGAACTAACATCAGTAAACTCCCCTCGCCATATTGTCAACTTTGAAAACAGATTTAAGTCCCTCACTAGCTACCCCCAATATCAGCCAGTCCACTTCTTCAAATGTTAATCTTCATAATGCTTCTATTTAGGGGCTTACATGGACTTGCTTGGCACATGAGACAGCCCAAATCCAAGAAGGCAAGGAGAGAATTAATAACTGTTGACTATATATCTCATGCCTAGAACAGTGCCAGACATATTTGATATATTAGCTCCTTTAATCAAAAAGCCACTACTGGGGCGCCTGGGTGGCTCAGTGGGTTAAAGCCTCTGCCTTCTGCTCAGGTCATGATCCCAGGGTCCTGGCATCGAGCCCCGCATCAGGCTCTCTGCTCCGCAAGGAGCCTGCTTCCTCCCCTCTCTCTCTCTCTCTCTGCCTGCCTCTCTGCCTACTTGTGATTTCTCTCTGTCAAATAAATAAAATCTTAAAAAAAAAAAAGCCACTATTATCCCCACTCTGTGTATGATAATACTGGTTCTAAGAAGCTAAGTCATTTGCCCAAAGCCCCATAGCTAGTGAGTCAGAGAGTCAGGGAGCCCCACTCCTGAGCCCTCACTGCCATACCACAGATACTCCATGTTACAGCAGAGCCCTGGATTCAAAGTATAGTCAGATCCTCTGATAATCAGACATTGTTGACACTGAATGACAAAAATCATAAGTAATTTGTCCAGCACTTTACATGTTCTCACAACACTTATCACAAGCCAGTGCTGAAGCACAGAGCTTGGTATTAACAAGTCAGGAAAGGACAGATGTTGGCAAGGTTGTGGAGAAAGGGGAACCCTCCTACACTGTTGGTGGGAATGCAAGCTGGTGTGGCCACTCTGGAAAACAGTATGGCGGTTCCTCAAAAAGTTGAAAATAGAGATATTCTCCAATGCAGCATTCACACTACTGGGTACTTACCCCAAACATACAAACATAGTGATCCGTAGGGGCACGTGCACCCGAACGTTTATAGCAGCAATGTCCACAATAGCCAAACTATGGAAAGAACCTAGATGTCCATCAACAGATGAATGGATAAAGAAGATGTGGTGTATATATATATAATGGAATACTATGCAGCCATCAAAAGAAATGAAATCTTGCCATTTGCGACAACATGGATGGAACTAGAGGGTATTATGCTAAGTGAAATAAGTCAATTAGAGAAAAACAATTATCATATGATCTCTCTGATATGATGAATTTGAGAGGCAGGGTTGGGGGGTCATCGGAAGTAGGGAAGGAAAAAATTAAACAAGATGGGACTGGGGAGGGAGACAAACCATAAGAGACTCTTAATCTCAGGAAACAAACTGAGGGTTGCTGGGGGTTGGGGAGGGGTGGGAGGGATAGGATGGCTGGGTTATAGACATTGGGGAGGGTATGTGCTATGGTGAGTGCTGTGAAGTGTGTAAGCCTGACGATTCAGAGACCTGTATCCCTGAAGCAAGTAATACATTATATGTTAATAAAAAATAAAACATAAATCCACATAAAGGAGACCTTGATTTTATCCTCTGCCCAGTTCACTATAATTTGTCAATGATAAATAAGTTCCTTATCATGATTTTGAAAATAACTGAGGAACTCAAACTAAAAGTTTTATTGTTTTCTTCTCTGCCTCATATATTTCACCTGGGATTTGCAGGAAAATGGACAAAGGAAATATGGCGGCCCTCCACCAGGCTGGGATGCAGCACCCCCAGAAAGAGGCTGTGAAATTTTTATTGGAAAACTTCCCCGAGACCTTTTTGAGGATGAACTTATACCATTATGTGAAAAAGTGAGTCCAAATTTCATGTTTTCTTATCTCTCAAGGGAAAAATACTATACACTTTGTTAAAGTGCTCATTCTTGGCGGGGGATGGCTTCTCTTCCGATTGCCATTCCTCAACGTGGACAAACTCAAAACCTTGCTGTTAGTGGCTGTCCCCTTATTGTCAGTGCCTCGAGGTCACTCTTCCTATTCCCGATGGCTTGAACTAGGGCTGCTGCTCATTTTCAAGTTCTGATCCTTGATCTGCATAGGTGCACCAAGTTTGCAACAAGTTAGTCATCATTCTATATTACTACTACAAGGATCTCTCCAAAATACGATATTGCTCCAACTTGACATTCGAATATGGTTTTCCCAAGTGCACCATTTCACATCCAAAGAGCATGTGTAGGTTTGCCAGCGCTCTTTGTGTACTTATACATAATGGTTCAGAATGAAATTTGCATCTACAGGTTTCATTTGGCGGCCCTAATGCATCAGCAAGATTAAGAATGGGGTCTCTCCAAGTCATTACATAATTAAGGAACACATTCCTCAGTTTTAATGCCAAGTCATATATTGTAGCTAAACCCAAAGGTACAGGGAGAACAGAAAATTACAATCTGTTTTCAAGGTTTTACCAAGTGGTGTTTCAACAACCACATTCCTGAAAAATTTAGAAAAATTAGAGTCTAGCTATTTCTTTCCCTAAATGCCAAAATCAATTGTGTGTATAACTCAGCCTCTGATTCAGAACCGCTCCTAATTTTATACAAACAATCTCATTTGGCATGTGCACAAATTATGAGGATTTGATCCTGTAAGAATTTTATATCCTGACCTTGAAAATGAGCTCCGAGAAACACCTAAAACAGATGAAACATGCTTGAACTCTTTCCTGATGAGCCCTGGATAGACAGATGTCCACCACTGAATACCGTGGGGAGGGGTGAGGAGGGTGCCGGTGGGGGAGGCTGAGCCGGCGGGTAACCAACCACCAAGAAGCACAAACCTCTCCCTGCACATGCCTGTCCTATCTCTTAGGGCCACTGGTCATACAGCGGCCAGCAAGAATAAATTACTGAGCCTGGGTTGCTGGAGAACATCTGGGGTAGCAGGAAGAAAACAGAAGACCTGTAGTCAGAAGGATAGAGTGAGTGGCCTTCTGCTGTGAGCTTCTGATCTTGGGCTAATTATGTAAAACTAGCATCTACCTTCAGCCTACAGATGAAAACAGCAACAGAAAGCCCCAGATCATCCTCCAAAATACATCCTCCCTGGACATCTTGAGGTCATGGTGGGAGAAAGACACAAGAAATCGATTAGCAAGGTTCCAAGTGAAAGTCCCAGGTCACTGGTAGATTATGACCAAGTAAAGATAAAACTATGGAAATTTGAGAGGCCAAGGTAGAGGGCAAGAACAGATCTATCGTGAAATCATGCTTCTGATGACAGATGCGTCCCCCGGTCCCAAGGATGGTGGATAAATCCACAGACAATTGTGTGATGAAAGGCCATTTGCTCTGTCGAAAACCTACTCTGTTAAGTCAAGCTGAAATGCACTTGTATGTGTTTTCTTTAGCTTGACTTTGACCATGAGTCAGATAACAGATCTGAACCCAGCATGAAAATATTCAAATAGAATGCAAATGCCAAATATGGCAGAGATGAGGCTTCAGAAAACTGTGTGTGTGTGTGTGTGTGTGTGTGTGTGTGTGTGTGTGTTTCCATTTGGAAGTACAAGTGGACAAACATGGATTCTCTCTTTTACTTGTAGATTGGTAAAATTTATGAAATGAGGATGATGATGGATTTTAATGGCAACAATAGAGGGTTTGCCTTTGTAACTTTCTCCAATAGACAGGAAGCCAAGGAGGCAATCAAGCAACTCAACAACTACGAAATTAGGTAAGAGACACTTCTTCGGAGTAAAAGTGAAGAGACAATGCACCTGTATCTTTCTTCCATCAAACTTATCTAATATAGTATATGAAATACACAGGTAGATCAGAAATAAAAAAGGTTTCTTTTCCTTGGGGAAAACCAATTTGATACAATACGTATTTAATGTTAACATTATATAAGGTGTCAAACTAAGGTTTGTGAAACGCTCCAAGAAACAAACATCATTCTTTCATCCGTCATGAATATGTTGATGGACACTGTTCAAAATATTGGAAATATCGAGATGTCTTTTCCTAGCCTCAGAGTAAGCAGATGGATATATTTTTATGAGTATGTAAATCATACAAGGACTCTAAAAACGCAAATAAACAAAAAGCAGAACCAGACCGATAAACATAGGAAACAGCGTGATGGTTACCAGAGGGGGTAGCCGCAAGGATGAGCAAGATGGGTGAAGGGGAGTGGGAGGTCCGACCTTCTGGTTCTGGAATGACTCGGTCACAGGGATGCAAGGCACAGCCTATGAAAGGTAGTCAGTGGTATTGTAATAGTGTCGTACGGTGGTGAGCAGAGCATGACATACAGAGAAGTCAAATCACTGTGAAACTAAGGACACATTGTGTATCAGCTACACTCAAAAAAAAAAAAAAATTAGGTATGAAAAAATAAAACCACCTCTGAGGAGGCAGATACCCTAACTTGGTGTATTTAAGAAGGTACTCTCCAGGAAAGTAAAATTTTACCTAAGACTTGAAAGAAGAGTCAGCTGTGACAGCCTGATCTGGAGGAAGATTATTCTAGAGAATAAGAACAGCATGTGCAAAGTTGCCCAAGTGAGAACAAGCTCGAGGTGTTAGAGGATAAAGCCAACGAGGTAGAAACAGGAGACCTGAAGGCAGTGCCCTCTGAGAGCCTTATACGCCATGATTCAAAAATTGCCTCTTCTTCTAATAAGGAGGAGAAAATGTTTCATTAGATTCATGCTTTTAGAAACATAACTCTGGCTGTTGGGTGAAGAATGGACTGTAGCAGGGAAAGAGGGAAAGACACAGCAGAGAGTAGTCTAGTAGACAAGGGCTGATGGCAGGGGCACGGCGGCTGGTGGTGCAGGTGGCTGGACGGGTCAGATGGGATAAGTTCTGAAGGTTGAACAGACAAAACTAGCTAAACATTGGATTTGGAGTGAGAGCAAGGTTAAAATTCAGGGAGGAAGGCAAGGACGTGGTCCCCGTGTCTGTGGAAGAGATAGTGTCCTTGAGATGGGAACACGGGGAGAATCACCAGAAACTTGAAGAGCTTAGTTTGGGGGAATTTACATTTGAGATTCACATTAGACATCCCCACGGGAGCTGTTGGAGAGGTGTCCATACGATACTGGAGCCAGGAGGAGGTCACAGAGCCTGCCAAACCCAGGTAATATTGCAAACCACAGAACTGGTGGTGGATTCTGGGGCATAATTGACCCTGTGCTATCAATAGCTGGTTTTAATCCACTAGAAACAGGGCTAATGTCATGAAATTGTCTGAGTTCTAAAACCTCCAGCTAGAGAGGGAACTGTGTTCAGTCACTTCTTAAAGGAAGCCATGGGGGCCCTGGAAGAAAGGTCAATGAAACAGTTGGAAAGCAACAGCCTTGGGGTCAGACAGGTTTCACCTGAGTGCCGGCCTCTCAGAGCCTCAGCGCGCTCATCCCCAAGTGGGGCTCCTCACACTCCCATCAGAGGCGTCCTGGTGTTTGGAACATGGTAATAGGTCAACAAATGATAGAACTCGTAGATCTTAGCACAGTTGGCAATTCTAAGATGTAATTGCCATATACGTCCTTTCTGCATTTTTTTTTAAAGATTTTATTTATTTATTTGACAGAGAGAGATCACAAGTAGGCGGAGAGGCAGGCAGAGAGAGAGAGAGAGAGGGAAGCAGGCACCCTGCTGAGCAGAGAGCCCGATGTGGGACTTGATCCCAGGACCCTGAGATCATGACCTGAGCCGAAGGCAGCGGCTTAATCCACTGAGCCACCCAGGTGCCCCGTCCTTTCTGCATCTTAAAATTCATGTCATCCCCATGTGAGTACAGAGGGACTCCCTACCGTTTACTGGCTCTCACCTTCCTACAGGCCCCAGATAAGTCCTGCATTATGCGGAGAATTCTGTCAGTCCAACAGTTACTGGGTCATTTTCCTTAAACCCCTGAGCTACAGAAAGATGCACACGGTTGGTAACCACAGTAGCTTACCCACTCAGTCCCAAGGTCAGATCCTGGAACAGAGTTTTGGAGGAGAGTATAAAGGAAGTTCCTCTCCCACACATGCCTCCACGAATCCAAAAGAACTCTGTCTGGTATGTGCAGGGTTGTCTGGCACGGGAACCAGGGGATCAGAGCCATGGGCTTCTTCGGACAAATCCTGGGACCGTCAGCACCTACTAAATCACACCTTTTCAGCATCTGTCATAGGAGATGACAGACACTAAACTGCTTTTGGAAAGGGCTCCAGAAAGCTCTATTTTAGTATAGCTTTGTCACAGGACACGTACGAGGTTTCAGGGATCAGCGGTGTCCCCATTCCTTGGTCCCTCGTGGAGCCTAGCTATCTGGAGAGAGAGGATTACTCTCAAAATGGCTTTTAGGTTAAGATGGACGGAGACTTGGCCACGCAGGGAATCAGCCCAGTTTGCTGTATGTACTCGACCCTTTGTTACACACTGGGGCCTGTCAGCGCTTTCCGAGAACAGATAGGGTGTAGAAAAGGAGCACAATCAATCCATGCCAGGCTCTGACAGGTAAGAGTACGCTCTGGGAATGTCAGTGTCTTCGTCTACAAAGGAGAGGAAGATATACTTATCTCATGGGGGTAGTATGAAAAATAAACAGATAATGCAGGCAAAGCTCACATGGTCTAGGAGTGTTTGCTGATGATTACGGGGGAGGAAGGAGAAGAGGGCGGGAGGAGGAGCGGGAAGAGGGGGAGGGGAATGTCACAAAGCATTTGGAAAGAGCAAGCTGGTGGCCATGTTCCAGTCAAAGACCAGGCTGGAAGCCAGAAACAAGGTGGGGGGGGGGGCAGAGCAGAGCAGTACTTTAAAAAAAATCAAGGTGTAGGATAAATAGGATATGAAATAATAGCAAAATTGATAACCCAGAGTCAAGCTCTCCTACTTCCACTACGTCCTAGGTCAGTCCTGCTAGACAGAACCTGGCCTGCGGAGAAGACGATAATCTTCTATTCGCTTTAACCACTATTTCTCAGGAGATAGATAACGTTCTTATCCGGAAAAGACCCATAATTGCCCTCTCGTCCTCCTCATCATCAAATATTCACTGAGATTTGTCTAATTGTCTGGCTTCTGGAGACTGGACCTGGGCCCTCAGCGTGTGAGGGATGGCTTTTTGTCTCCAAGCAGTTCTGGGAAAGTGCCTGACAAACCACACAGATTTAAAAATAGGACAGGAGACACCAGGCTCCACCTGCTGGTAAAGGATACCCGACCAGCCCTCCATCAAAAATAATAGAATTTCTAAAGAAATAATGTTTTGGAATAGAGGGGTTTCTTTAAAAAAAAAAAAAAATCCCTAAAAGAGGATTTTATCTACCCTTCCCTACTCACAAGGAAAAGCACATTCCTCAGGCGACAGTCACCAGACTATAAGGGACCTGTCACAGGTCTGCTAGGTGGTCCTCAGTTCACCAACAAAGCATGGAGGACAAGCAGGACAGGGGCCAGTCCTGGGGAGCGTGCCCGCCACCCCACTGAACGCCACTAGTTCCAAGAAATCAGAGTAGCCTTCCACTCGCCCGGCTGAGTACTTCTCTCCATGACATGCGAGTAATTTCTGTGAAAGGAACTTTACCCATTTTAACCACTTTAATAACTTTGTGCTATTACAAAAGTCACACAACAAACGGCAAAAAAAAAAAAAAAAAAAAAAAAAAAAAAGAGAAAAAAATAAAACAAACAAACAAAAAAACAAAACCACAAGAAAGAAACGCGGCGGGCGTGTGT